TGCTTGCGAAGTTTCCCCGGTAATTGATCTTGGGGATGACAAATCAGAATCACCTTTCAAAAGGTCAGACAGGGGAGATAATAATTCTGTAGAAATCCCCAATAAAGGTCATAGCCAATTAATGGTTCCCAATAATTTTTGTAGCTCATTCAATGTAGTTACTCTATTGACAATTCGTATGGGTTGTGGAATAATTGTTTTATCTAAGATTTGCCATCCCAGGTATCTCCAAGGTGGTATAGACTGTACCTTCTCAGGTGCTATCCAAAGTCTATAGCTTTCCATGGCCAATTTCACCTCAGAAAATGCAGATTGTAACAAACTCATCAGGTGCAGCAATTAAAATATCATCCATGTAATGATAAAACAACAGAGTAGGAAATTGTGTTTTCACTGGTTTCAAAGCAGAATAAACAACAAATTGACAAATAGTTGGACTATTTTTCATGCCTTGAGGAAGCACTACCCAATGATATCTCTCCATAGGCCCTTCATTGTTAATAGAAGGTACAGAAAAAGCAAAATGTGGACAATCATCAGGATGCAGAAAAATTGTAAAGAAACAATCCTTTAAATCAATGACAAGCAGATTCCAAGAGTGTGGTATCATCGCAGGATTCGGCATTCCCAATTGCAGTGCACTCGTTGGAGCTATAACGTCATTAACTGCCCATAAATCCTGCAATAATCTCCATTTGCCTGATTTCTTAGGTATTACAAAAATTGGAGTATTCCATGGGCTTGTAGAAGGGACAATATGTCCTAACTGCAATTGTTCTGCAACCAGCTCTCGTGCTCGCTCCAGCCGCTCACCTCTGAGGGGCCACTGATCAACCCAAACAGGGGAATTAGTTAACCATGTAAGTTTGAGCCGTGGCTGGACATCAGCGACCCCAATCAAAAATGTGTTGTTAAAAGCAAACCCCATTGTGAAATCAAGTCACGGCCCCATAATGTACAGGGTACTGGTAAAATGTGTGGTTTCAATTTAGCTATTTTCCCATCCGGTCCTTCAACCAGCAGAGATTGTAGCGATTGTTGAGGAAGCTGAGTTCCTCCAACCCCAGTAATTAAAGCAGCTGTGTCCACAACAGGCCATTCAGACGGCCAGTCAGACTTATGGATGATAGAAATGTCTGCTCCAGTGTCTATCAACCCTGAAAATTCTTTACCATTAAGCCAACAAGTAAGAAAGGGTTGTTGAGTTGTGATTTGCTGAGTCCAATAAATCTGTGGAGATCCTGTACTCCCGAAACCTCCTGCTCCATGGATTGGTGCCGATGTAGCAGTATCATCTGTTAAAGGAGACAAACTAGGGAGAGGTATTAGCTGAGCAATGCGTTCACCAGCTGGTATGGTAGAGGGAGGATTCAGAGTCCATACCATGATTTTAATTTCTTCCCGATAGTCACTATCAATAATCCCAGGTAAAACAAACAAACCTGTCTTTGTAGTAGAAGACCGGCCCAGTAACAAAGCATGTCCATTAAAAGGTAGCGGCCTTTGCAGTCCTGTCGTTATCAGGGGCACAGAAGTGTCATTTACATTTGTTGTGGTGGCAGTTGCCACATCCAGGCCAGCACTCCCAGGGGTGGCATGGCAGGGGATAATGCCTGCATTGCTTGTCCATTCCACTGCTGTGGTGCTAATTGGGCCCTGTTGGGATTGCATGGGGCCCTCTTGGTGTTTCCCAACTGCAGAGTGGGTAAAAGATTACCATTTTTATAAAATTTAGAGTGACATTGATTGCTCCAGTGATATCCTTTCTGACACTGAGGACATAATTAATTTGGAGCTTTATCCCTCTCTCCCCTTTGTTTTGGGCAATCCTTTTTCATGTGTCTGTCCTGCCCACACAAAAAGCATTTAACAGCAGCACGAGCCACAGTTAGTTTTTGAGCCAGTGCCATTGCTAACATCTCAAATTTGTGGTCTTCCGTTTCTACATGCTGGCACACTTTAATAAGTTCATTCAAAGTGGCAGCCTTGCCACGTATAGGGTCTAAAGCCCTGTGGCATTGAGTGTTAGCATTTTCCACTGCTAATTGCATTAACAAAAGTTCAGCAGCTTGTGGAAGTTCGACTTGTCAAGAAATAGCTGTCTGCAAACAGTCTATGAAGTCTATGTAAGGCTCCCTGGCAGATACTCACAAATGACCACTCTGTACATTTACCATCGGGAACTCGCTTTAAAGCCCATCAGGCCAGGGTAGACGCTTGCTAGAAAGCTAATTATCCATTTGAACTTGCGCTGCTGTACTTGCGTTATCGCCCTTCTCCCATCAAGTGGTCAGCCCTGATAGCATGCCCAGCTGTCATATTATCTAATGCTTGGGCAGCAACCAACTCACAATATTCTGTTAACCAGATGGAATATTGCCCTGCCGTTAACATCAACTTTAACACCATTTTCCAATCTGCAGGAATCATAGTATACGACTCCGATATCGCTTCCAGCAAACTAATAGTAAAGGAGGATTGTAAACCATTTTCCTTAATGGATTTTCTTAACTCTTTGATAACTTCATACGTCAGCATCTCATAGTGAGGAGGCTGCTGGGATTGATAGATAGCAGGCATAGCCTGAAACATTTCCATATCACCACCTTGCAAAGCCCTTTTTCTACACACTTCCATGAACTCCCATCTTGCCTTATCATGAGAATTATTAGAAGGCACATCCAGAGAAAGAGCATAAGGCGGTGGATGTGTAGAGGAGGCACGACTAGCAAGTCATTCGTTTAGTTTTTTGTAAAATCTGATCCGCGGTTGGCGCAGAAGCCACCACAGCTTTAACCGGAGTTAAGAGCAGGTATAAATCAGGCTCTTCATCAGAGTCAATAGGACCTGGATCAAAGAGATCCTCAGGTATCTCTGAGTCTAAGTCATCGGCTGCTTCTCCCGTAGCAGCTAACGGCAGCTGCGGCTGCTGAGCTGAATCACAGACAGGCTCAGCGTCAGGGTCTGAACTAGCAGGAGCTGTGTCCTCTAATAAATCGGCCGGTGGAGGCAGAAATTCTGAGTTAGCAAACACTTTATCAGTAGGGAGGAATGTTCTTAATGCCGTATATATGATACGCCACACTATGATATTATTGGGAATAACATCATGCTCAAAAATTAGTCATGCTTGCAAGCACTCTCCCATTTTCTGCCAGTCATAGAGATCGTAAGACCCATTGGAGGGGTACCACGGACAATGATCCCGAATCCATACTAAAAGCTGTAAGAGCTGTAAGCTTAAGAGGCTGTAACATTAATCCTTGTTCGTTAAGGATTTTCATTAAAAGTACTTTATGTATATGCTGCGCTTTCATCGCAGACTGCCCCATTATAATAATACCTTCCCCGGCTCCTCGCTGTGCTAACCTTGTATCGTGAAGCGATGAATATATACGACATCCTTGGCGATCAACATCTTCCATCCGGCTCACAGGGGTACACCACCAGTCCTTGATCATCGTCCTGCAGAAACTTTAACCCAATTCAGGTGCCATTTGTGGCGTATGAAGAAATCACGAACTCGTAGGTCATTCAGTAAGTGAACTCAAAAATCCAATTGGACCATCTTTATTGCTACACAGAGAGACTTATATACACTAAGACACAAAACTACTTCTCCTATAATGCCCAATCATGGACTAACAAAAATATTTTTTACCTTCTACTGCGCTTATAACAATAAAAATTATTCTACTATCAAGAAAAGTTTCGTTTCCCAGACTGTGCTGTTTTTTGTCAGGATGTGCTTCAGGCTGCAAAATTGGCCAACAGGTGCACACAGGACTCCCCAGAGAAGCATAAAGCAGAAGAGTCAAGCACAGCAGCAGTTACCTTGCCTTAATCTATGTTGCCTCCTCTTGCCTTGCCTTGCCTTGCCTTGGCCAGCCTTGCGTTGGCCAACCTTCTCTTGCCCTATCGGCAACTGTGACCTCACAGAGAAGCCCCTTGGCAGGGCAGGGCTGGAGCATCTTGGGGCAGGAGAAGGCTCCTGACACACTGACGGTGGTGGTGTTGGTGTTGGTGTTGGTAGGGAACCCCAGAGAGAGCCCAGAGAGAGCGCAGGAGGCCCAAGAGGCGCACCAAGGCCTCCCCAGAGCAGCATTAGGTGGAAGAGTCAAGCGCAGCAGCGCTGACCACCAACCAGCCTTTGGAGACGAAGGCCAGTGAGCGTCAGAGAGAGCTTGGAGGGTGCAAGAAAGGGGACGTGGCAAATGGGCCGTCCCGCTTGGGAACCCTTTGGCATGCAGGCAAGGATTGCAGGGCTGGGAGCAGCAGGGCTCTTCCTGCCAAGGAGGCTGCAAACAAGCCCAGAAGAGTGCCCCAGGACAAGGGCCCCAGCCCGCAGGCCACCCCTGCGGCACTTGGGACTCATCTTCTGCTGGCAACAATGATCTTTGGACCCAGGAATCCTTGAGCCTCCCAGCCCAGAACGGAAAAGGAGCCTTCAAGGAGGAGAGGGCACGGCCAACTAAGGCAATGAGAAGGCAGCCATGCCGGAAACCAAAACACAGCCCCTATCATTAGCTGGCATGTTTTGCATTTCAGATGAGCTTCTCTGAAAATTAGTACTCCCACAGAGGCTTCCCCTGCTCCCGCACACTATAAAAGCCATCGCAGCTCTTTGCGCTCTCATCCATCCGCTTTGCTCCTGTTCTTCTCTGCAGAAGCAAGTGAGTTGGAAGCTCTGTCGTCTACGGGGGCCAGGGGCTCCTGTCCTGGGAGGGGAAGCGCGGAGAACGTGTCGGGTGGTGTGGTGTGGTGTGGCGTGGCGTGGTGTGGAGAGGGGCTGGGCTGGGCTGGTCTGGGCTGAGGGGCCTGTTGGGCTGTGGGCTGGGAAAGGGCTTTCCTGGGCCTGGCTCTCTTGGCATGGTGCCCGGGGGGTGAAGGCAAGAGGCGCATGGGCCTCCCTGCACGGCCTCCATCTCCCCAGCCAGCACGGGCCTGGGTGGCCTGGTGGTGGGTGGACAGGATGCTCTGCCACGCTCCCATGCTCCTCCCTGCCCTCTCTTCCAGGTGCACCTCCGGCCCCACAAGATGTCCTGCTACAACCAGTGCTCCCCCTGCCTGCCCTGCCAGCCCTGCTGCCCGACCCCGCTGGCCAACAGCTGCAACGAGCCCTGTGTCAGGCAGTGCCAGAACTCCACCGTCGTCATCGAGCCCTCCCCCGTGGTGGTGACCCTGCCGGGACCCATCCTCAGCTCCTTCCCGCAGAACACCCTGGTGGGATCCTCCACCTCCGCTGCTGTTGGCAGCATCCTCAGCTCTAACGGAGTGCCCATCAACTCTGGCTGCTGTGACCTCTCCTGCATCACCAGCCGCTACTGCGGGAGAACATGCTAAAGCTGCCCTGCTAAAGGACCCGCACAAAGACCCCCAGGAACCCACAAGACAAGACCCTCATGGACTGAGCACAGACAGCCTGGCCATGGCTTGCAGAGCCACTCAGCATCCAGGGCTCCAGCTGCACAGGCAGGCAGGAGGAGGCGCCCCTGGGCTCTCGGAACACATGGCCCTTCTCTAACTTGCCTCTTTCCCACTCTCTTGTCATTTTCTCGCTTCTCTCTTGTCTTCTGCTCCCCTGGCCCGTGAGCACCTGCCAATCCCCATGCGAGGAAGGACCTCCTGCCCCTCTCCCTCTCAGGGGCAGGCAGACAGGCAGGCACTTGCCTGCTGCAAACTCCAGCCTGGCCAAGGGACAAAGACTCCCAGCTTCCCCTGCTGCTCCCTGCACCATGGCCCCCACTCCGGGGACCCCCTTTCCCTCTTGCAACTCATTAAAGTTCTCATGCATCCCAACCTGGGCCTCTGCGTGCTCCTGCTCTCTCGGGACGCTCTCTACTCCTGGTAGAGAGAAAGGTGTCGCTCTGGGGCCATCTCTGAGGCACAAAGCAGAGCCATGGGCATTGGCACGCAAGGGGAGGGTGAGACTCAGGCAGTGGGCTCCTGTTGAGACACTCGCCCTTGCGGCTGAGGAAGATGTCCCTGGCTGCTGCTGAGCCAGCAGCCCTCAGGGCCTACCTTGCTGCATGCCTGCACACAAGTGGCCTCCTCAGGTTTCGAGCACAGCCTGCAGAAGGTGGGGAGCCCAACCACTGCCTGAGTGAGGACTCCATCTCCCCGGCCACGCTGGCGGGCAGTGGAGGCAGTGGGAGCTGGTTGTAACACGTCCAGCAGCGCCTGTCAGTCCTCCCTGCTGGGTGGCTCTCCCTTCAGGAAGACCCCTGTGGCAGGTGTGAGAGCGCTAATGGTGGTTGTGTGACAGGTTGCTCATCACGGGTCCCTGTGCTGCTTCCTGCCATCTCTCACCAGAGCAAGTCTGGCCGCAAGGCATCTGCAGCTACAACCTGTCCCGCCCTCAGCCAAGCGAGAGAGGCGGGCTATTCCTCATCTCCCTGCCTTTGTGGCTTCCAACTCCAAGCCGGTGCTTCTGCACCAGTCCCGTTCTTGCCTTGTCTCAGCCTCCCTTCCTTGCAGCTGTTGCTGGGATCTTGTCTCTCCCCACTCAGGCTGCCAGCAGTTCCTCCAGCACAGCTGGAAGTGGGGGAGTTTCCAAGTGCAGATGGGAACTGTTTCCTCCCAGCCAAGAGTCATCTCTCTCTCTCCAGGAGTGCGTGTGGGAACAGCACAGGAGGATGTGTGTCACCTGCAAAAGGGATGTCCAGAGGCCTCTTCCCCCTTTCACGCCCATTGCTCACAACACATCTCCCAGCCTTTGCCATGCGCCATCTGCAGCCTTCCCTCTCCCCAAAGGACAGCTCCTGGTTTTGCCGGAGGCTCAGGACTCCCCTTTTCCCCCTCCAGCACTCACCCTCCCGCTCACCCACAGGCCTGCTCCTCCCCAGCCTGACACGCCTTTCTCACTAGCACCTGCCACTCCCAACAAGGCTCTGGGGCAAAGCGGGACCGTGGCTCGCTCCCCACTCAACAAGCTGCTCAGGGGCCTCCCAGGAAGCAAGAGCTGAAGCTCTCCACACCCTGTGTTCTCTTCCCCCTGCCAGCTCAAAGCCGCCTCCAAACCTCAGCCCAAGGCCTGGAGCCAACCATTCCAATGGCTGCCTGGCATCCCACACCTCTGCCCCGGGGAGCCTTTTGACACACATCCCCCACTGGTTCAAGCACTTGCTCGCCCAAACGGGGGGAATCAAGGGGCCACCTCTGCTGGCCCCCGGGCTCCCCAGGGCCACCACCAGGTTTTCCAGGGCTGGGAGCTTCCAACTCGTGCAGCCAGGCAACGCCTCCACCTTTCCAAATGCTCTCGCTCACAAAGGCCCCAAACATCCCCACAGGCACTCCTACCCACTTGTCAACTGCTGCTGCCTCCCACAACACTCCCGGCCAGGCTGCCCAAAGGGAGCCACGCACCTCAGATGGAAACCTGCTGGTAGGAACCTACTGCAGGACCCTGCTGACACTTGCCAGAAGGAGAACTTGACTGCTCCCATAGAAGGAGACCAAGGAGGTGGCCAGAAACACAACCCTCACAGTCACCTCCAGCAGGGAATCATAGAATCACAGAAACTTCTAGTTTTGAAGGGACCTTAAAGATCATCTTGTCCAACTGTCAACCTAACTGACAAAAATAGACACCCACACAACAAACAAGGAGCATCATCACTAAACCAGACCTCCCAGCACTACATCAACCCGTCTTTTGAACACCTCCAGGGATGGGGCCTCAACCCCCTCCCTGGGCAGCCCATTCCAATGGCTGAGAACCCTTTCAGTGAAAAAATGTTTCCTAATATCCAGCCTGAAACTACCCTGGCGCAACTTGAGGCCATTTCCTCTTTTCCTGTCGCCTGTGACTTGAGAAAAGAGACCGACCCCCATCTCTCTACACCCTCCTTTCAGGTAGTTGTAGGGAGCAATAAGGTCTCCTCTCAGCCTCCTCTTCTCCAGGCTGAACACCCCCAGTTCCCTCAGCCTCTCCTCATAAGATTTATTCTCCAGACCCCTCACCATCTTTGTCGCCCTTCTCTGGACCCGCTCCAGCACCTCAATGTCTTTTTTATGGTAGGGAGCCCAAAATTGGACACAGTACTCAAGGTGAGGCCTCACCAGTGCCGAGTACAGGGGGACAATCACCTCTCGGGCCCTACTCCCCACACTGTTCCTGATACAGGCCAGGATGCTGTTGGCTTTCTTGGCCACCTGGGCACACTGCTGGCTCATGTTCAGCCGACAGTCGACCAACACCCCCAGGTCCTTTTCTGCCAGGCAGAAGAAGGCTCCCGGGTTCCACTTCTCTGGCCACGCAGCGCAAGGCCAGAGGCAGGGCAGCATCTGTGCTGTGTCACAGCACCATCCCGAGCAGTGCAGCTTTGCTCCTGCGTGGTGGTGACACCAATCCCAATCTCTCCTTTGCCCTCTCCTTCCAGAACGTCCTGGGACTCGCAGCTCCCCTTCCTTCTTCCCAGAGCTTCCTGCCTGCATGCTAGATCTGTCTTCTCTACCTGAGAGAAGGCACTGAAGCCACCACCCATGACACCGGTTGTCTAGCGTATGGAGGAGGGGAAGGGAGCCCACTGCCAATAGGAGAGAGCTTGTCAACAGGGTCCGCCAGGGAACAGCTCTCCCTACCGCATCATGCATCCGCCATGGATTTTAGCAGCCATCCCCCAACAGCAGAGCTCTCCCTCTTCTGCACTTCTCCATGCCTTTTCAGACCATAGGTAAAGAGGTGCTGACCTCACAAAGCGCAGGGACTGTCCTGGAAAACTCTGATCAAATGCCAGGGATTTCAACCAGAGCCCAGTCTCTGCAGAGCAGCTGGCAAGCCTCTGCACACATCTCCTCCCCCGTGAGCAGGCCTTTGCAGTGGGATGGACTTTGCTCTCCAGCTGCTCCCACACACTGCAGCAGGAGTTGTCCACAGAGTCCTACCACTGACAACCAGCTCCTAAGGAAGCACAAAGAGGGGTTGCACCACGGCGCACCTCCAGAGCAGCCATTCCTTCACCACAGAAGCCACGTACGCTCTGACCAAGGCAATCTCACCTACTGCCTGAAAATTACATTTTTCATCAGACCAATACTCCATACGGCTGTAAGACAGGAGCATCAGGTGGTACACAGAAGCCAAGGGATGCCTGAGGAGGGAAACCCATGCATGAAAGACAGCAATCACAAGTCATCTACAGCCTGCATTACCTTGCCTTGACCTCTGTTGCCTCCTCTTGCCTTGCCTTGCCTTGCCTTGCCTTGGCCAGCCTTGCCTTGGCCAGCTTTCTCTTGCCCTATCGGCAACTGTGACGTCACAGAGAAGCCCCTTGGCAGGGCAGGGCTGGAGCATCTTGGGGCAGGAGAAGGCTCCTGACACACTGACGGTGGTGGTGTTGGTGTTGGTGTTGGTAGGGAACCCCAGAGAGAGCCCAGAGAGAGCGCAGGAGGCCCAAGAGGCGCACCAAGGCCTCCCCAGAGCAGCATTAGGCGGAAGAGTCAAGCGCAGCAGCGCTGACCACCAACCAGCCTTTGGAGACGAAGGCCAGTGAGCGTCAGAGAGAGCTTGGAGGGTGCAAGAAAGGGGACGTGGCAAATGGGCCGTCCCGCTTGGGAACCCTTTGGCATGCAGGCAAGGATTGCAGGGCTGGGAGCAGCAGGGCTCTTCCTGCCAAGGAGGCTGCAAACAAGCCCAGAAGAGTGCCCCAGGACAAGGGCCCCAGCCCGCAGGCCACCCCTGCGGCACTTGGGACTCATCTTCTGCTGGCAACAATGATCTTTGGACCCAGGAATCCTTGAGCCTCCCAGCCCAGAACGGAAAAGGAGCCTTCAAGGAGGAGAGGGCACGGCCAACTAAGGCAATGAGAAGGCAGCCATGCCGGAAACCAAAACACAGCCCCTATCATTAGCTGGCATGTTTTGCATTTCAGATGAGCTTCTCTGAAAATTAGTACTCCCACAGAGGCTTCCCCTGCTCCCGCACACTATAAAAGCCATCGCAGCTCTTTGCGCTCTCATCCATCCGCTTTGCTCCTGTTCTTCTCTGCAGAAGCAAGTGAGTTGGAAGCTCTGTCGTCTACGGGGGCCAGGGGCTCCTGTCCTGGGAGGGGAAGCGCGGAGAACGTGTCGGGTGGTGTGGTGTGGTGTGGCGTGGCGTGGTGTGGAGAGGGGCTGGGCTGGGCTGGTCTGGGCTGAGGGGCCTGTTGGGCTGTGGGCTGGGAAAGGGCTTTCCTGGGCCTGGCTCTCTTGGCATGGTGCCCGGGGGGTGAAGGCAAGAGGCGCATGGGCCTCCCTGCACGGCCTCCATCTCCCCAGCCAGCACGGGCCTGGGTGGCCTGGTGGTGGGTGGACAGGATGCTCTGCCACGCTCCCATGCTCCTCCCTGCCCTCTCTTCCAGGTG